GGTGCTGGAGCAGCACAGATGGGCGATGGCCCGTTGGTCACTCCCGGTTCGTGCTGGTGTCCAGCTGCTCTGCACTTGATATATGAGTGGACAGAGCGGACGCTGGAGCCTTCGGCTCGCGCCGGCTGGGGTGGGGGTTGTTTCTCCTGGGGGTGGGGAGAGGGCACGGTGGCCTAAATCCTTTTAACATATGTACATTGACCCTGCTCTGATTGCAATACCCAATACCGCTTTGGGGGTGGGGAGAGGGCACGGTGGGAGTTAGCCTAAATCCTTTTAACATATGTACATTGACCCTGCTCTGATTGCAATACCATCCTTCGCTTTGTCGGCACTGGTTAGGAGGGGACTGGGAATGTGGCGGACAAAGAAATGTAGCTCCCCGATGGATTTGCTGAACAGCCCAAATTTGCCTTGGAAAACTTGATGTTTGTGCTCCAGCGGCTTGCCAAGAAGTTGGCTGCCCGTCCTCGGTCCGCAGGGGAGGGCTGGGGGATTTAAACACCTCACCCTTTGCAAATGCTGCCAGGTATTGCACTTGGGTTATATCACGTCTAAGTGTGGCTTTGGGCTCTCCTTGCCCTGGTCCTGGCTTTGGGACCAGCTCTGCCACCGGTGTAAATCGCTGCTGGGCTGTCTTGCCTATTCTGGACCCGCCATGTAGGGATTTACTAGAGATGACCGGTATCTAGCTTAAATGTGTGTATCAAAGTGTAGAAATGTTGCTATAACCTACAGGATTAATGCTGAAACATTTCAGAAACATTGCCACAACCCTCAGGTCCACAGTGAGTGTAAATGGAGTATCTGCATGGGTTATAACTCTCATTTATAGCTGTGATTTGACTTGCTGTTGCACTTTGCCTACGCCGCTCTTAGGAGACAGGGACAAACCCCAGCCCAGGACGAGCTCCTGGCAGCAGAAGCCAAAAAGATCATCAAGAAATGTCTCATTTAAAAGAGGAAAAAGTCATTCCCCTGCCTCCCGTTCACAGGGCAGACTTGGGAAAGTCTCTTCTCCCCTCCTGCGTTTTTTTCCTAGCTTGCCTTTAGCCTTGAAGACATTGCTGTGACTGCGGCAGGAGCTGGAGCATCTCCGCACGGATGCAGACACCTCTCAGTTCCGTGAATCCAGCTGCAGCAGCAAAGCTTTGGCGCAGGAGTTGCATTGATGTGAGGCTGCATTCGTGCTGTGGGTGCTTGGTCCAGGTCCTTGTCTGGACCCACCTTCAGGTGCTGGTAGCACAGAAGATCCATCACGCACAACATCCCTGATATGAGAAGTCTCGGTGAAGGCTGGGCTGTGAAACGGGACTCCCAGCATCCAGGTTTGCTCCCTCTGGGCCCAAAGTTTGCATGTCAGAGAATTAAAAACCTGGGAACTTGGGCAGCCCCTGGAACCAGGACGGGCTCTCCCTGCCCGGGAAGCCGATCGCATCGGGCCACGCTCTTGCAGGTAATTGCAGGGATAATGAAACTGCTCAACGTCTTTTGAAAACAGCATAAATCCTCCAAGCTGGCAGCTCTGCAGAAAAAGGAGCCGTCAGCATTTAAACCAGCAAGACAGCAGCAGTACAAGCAAAGCATCGCAGAGGCGGCTCATCAGCTCGTTCCTGCACCAGGAGCCGAAGGGCGGCAGCGTCTGCTCCCTCCCAAGGGCTGGGATGCTTCTGCAGAGCAGCAAGGGCTGTCGAAGGGGACATCGAGACACATCCAGTGCTTGCACTGCGGGGCGGCGGATTGCTGGTGTGCTCCAGTGTGCTGCATCTGGGGTGATCTCCTGCAGGGTCCTGGGTGCTCGGCTGGATTTAAACCCTGGCTTTAGTGCATCCTCAGCTTGAGCGTGTTTGCTCTTGCGCGCTCCCTCTCCTTCTTTGCCCTCCAAATCCATTCCAGCCCTCTCCTGATCCCCCTAGGGATGCTGGATTGCTGCAGCCATCAGCATATGCTGCCTGCGGGTCATCTCTGTATTCGCCTGCGTAGGTTTTGCCGTGAGTTTTTATGCACCAGCATTAGCGATGGGTGCATGTACACGTGGCTGGGACAGGAGCATATAAAAATGCGTGTGTGTGCATGCATGCATACGTGGCATGCTCTGCGTACAAGGGCTGTGGATGAGATATCTGTGCTCCAACAAAGACGGCCTGCGCCGGGATGCTGCTCGGGGCAGCCCTGTGTCCCCGCAGCCTCGTGGCTGCGCCTGAAATCCCCCGGCGAGAGCTTTTCCCGGGGGG